AGTTCTCCATGCTGAAACTTAACTAACAGATTTAAATAATTACATTATGGAAAAAAAGGCCCGCTTGAAATCATGTCTGTGTTCTTCGGCACAAACGTTTTACGGTGGAGACAAATCGACTTAACAACAAAAGCTGATATGCGATATGTTTTACACCAGCACTGGTGCAACAGTATGTAACTGTAACCGAAAGAAAGTCCAGTCACGGTCATATCAAACAGTGGTCGTAAAAAAAGTGAAAATAGATGAAATACTTGTGTTGCTATGAATGTCTACTACGATACATGTATCGGGGAAAAAACTCCTGATCAGTTTTATTTAACGCATACGGAAAATTTGAATACATCAATGTCAGATAACTGAGTTGTCGACTACAAATAGGTTTCACAGTATGATTTTACGTTAATTTGCTTAACAGATAAGCTGTCGTGTCCATGTCACATGGCATTATAAAGCTGAGGGCCTGTAGCTCACCTACCAAAATTGTGTATGTGCATTCTGAAAATGCTTGCTTTTGGTTTGTTGTTTAACGCCGCACGCACTATTCAAGCTATATAACGGCGGTCTGAAAATAATCGTGTCTGCACCAGACAATCCAGTAATTGATATCATGAGCATCAATCCACGCAATGGGGATCGATCACATGCATCAGCCAAGTCAGCGAGCCTGACCACCCGATCCCGTTAGTCGCCTCTTGCGACAAGCATAGTTGCCTTTTATGGCAAGCATGGATTTCTGAAGACCTATTCTTACCCGGACCTTCACGGGTCCCGTTCTGAAAATAAAGCTCCTACCTCACATGTGTATGACGTATTCTGGAGAAGGAACACTAACCTCAAATCTCTCATGCCAAAATTATGGAAAGAACAACAGCCTCCCAAACACTATCTTGAAAATAAATTAATCCTGACGAACAGAATGGGATTTAACGTCACGTTCAAGATTATTTAACCCATATAGCAATATGTGTTCGTGCGTGCGTGCATGCGTGCGTACGTGTCCACCAAGGAGGTTATTATGGACACCCTATTTGGGGATAACAGAGGTATAATTTATATTGACTGTCTGACACACAGAACAACAATGGACATTTTGCGAAAAGTGAAGTCTGTCAAGGACAAGCGCCGTGGCTAAATTCGACATGGCGTTCTAGATCTTCTTCATTAGGACAAGGGGCGGTCGAGTAGCCTAGTGGTTAAAGCGTTAGCTCGTCACGCCGTTGTCCCGGGTTCGATTCCCGATATGGGTACAATGTGTGAAGCCCATTTCTGGTGTCCCCCGCCGTGATATTGCTGGATTAGAGCTGAGCATACGCCTTACCAGCATATCAGCATATCACACACGGAAAATTAGCAAATCTCAACTGACCAATAAAATTCAAGCATTTTACCATCTTCCCGAGGCAAGTGAGTTAACTGATTATAAAAGTCCAGTTTCCACCCTTGCCGAACTAGGCTAGGATTATGGAGTTATCCATAGTCCAATCAAAATCGTGCAACGAAATCGAAATCCGGTTCGTAGAGTGTCATGCAGATTTCGGTCGACTGCAGGGTTTTGCAAAGCACGTGCACCGCTAACTCGTTGTCAACAGATATTTTCTAAATCTTTTCATGTTTTTAATCAAGGTGCTCAGATGATTTGATGCACTTCGCGATGAAAGCCTCGTTTTATCACAATATAGATCTTGATTATCGATCAGATCGTCTTGACGGGGCGCCATCGTTTTGTTTGAAAAAAATGCAAGTGATACGAGAGGTTGAATCTGATTGGCCAACAGGAGAGGCATAGAAAGGACATAACTCGTAATAGCCACTGGTGGCGCTACGATCGAGCCCAGGAATTCCAGCCTAGTTCGGCAAGGGTGGAAACTGGACCTTTAAAGTCAGTTAACTCCCTTGCCTCGGGAAGATGGCATTTTACATGCATAGTAACATTTGTCGACCTCAATTCTGTAAACCGGTTGATTTAATAATATACACCACATATTACCGGCGCCAGTAGAAGAAAGTACTGCTCCATGCTAAAGCTGAATATGGTTCCAGGCCCAGCTGGAAAGGACGATTTAAGGGTACAGGGCTGTCTTTATGACCTGAACCTGTGGAATTACATAACTTTCGCCATTTCGCATATTTTATGACTTTTATAGAGATTGCAAAGCCAAAACTTTACAGTGAATTAGCGCTGATAGTTATGGACAAGTGGAAATCAGGACTTTATTATGTATATATGCTCCCATCCATAAATTCTCTTCCCTCATCATCAACAAGTCATGCAATATCCACATCACGTCATGCCTACTTCATCAGAGTAAGTGAGAGAGTAGGGTCTGACGCCGCTTTGAACACTATTTCTGTTATATCGCGGTGTACCCGCTTAATGTTGGTGAAGTAATGTAGATTGCAGACATAATCTGCGAGATCGCAATTGACTGATACCTACTTTCAATCGATCCTAGGGGCGGTCGGGTAGCCTTATGGTTAAAGTGTTCGTTCGCCACGCCGAAGATCCGGGCGCTCTCTCTCTCTCTCTCTCTCTCTCTCTCTCTCTCTCTCTCTCTCTCTCTCTCTCTCTCTCTCTCTCTCTCTCTTCTCTATCTCTCTCTCTCTCTCTCTCTCTCTCTCACACACACACACACATACACGTAACACATAACGTTTTAACCACTAGGCTACCCGACCGCCCCGGCTGAAGAGATAAAGACTCGGCAACAAGTGTAAGATAGCAGTAAGGTACTTGTATAATGCTCAATCACTTTCACTTCAATTTAAGAATGATGTTAAGCTGTTCATAACGGTCGTCTCCAAACTGATATACAACATCATCAACCCAAAATATCTCGAGCCCCGTTGAAAGGAAGATCCCTATCTCTGTGGCGTTCTAGACAATACCCTTGTCAACAGTCTGGGGGAGCATCATAAATGTCATCTGTTTAGTTTATGACATCATGACTCGTTCAGAAATGTTCAACAAGGTAACAAGGCTACATGTATGCACGTATATTTTAAGAGTCAGTGTTCCTCTACTTGAAGATATTCTAGGCATGGTTGCCATGTTGTGATTGTTTCAAATCCTTTGTATCACAAGGCTGACAGGAGAGAAAGCTATTGTTAATGACCACATTTTGACATACTGACACATTTGTATCCTCTTTTAATGTGGCCGAACCAATGTCAAATTTATTAGTACACGTAAATATTGTTTTACGCCGCAGTCAGAAATAAATCAAGTCTGGAAGAGTCAAACCAGTGGATGATGACGTGAACATTGATTCGCTGTCGGGTCGCTGTCACATTATTCAATCAGGCCAATCACTCATTCAAACAGACCCGTGAAGATCCGGAGTAGAATAGGTCTTCAGCAACCCAATGTTCGCCGCAAGAAGCAACTATGCTTGTCGTATGAAGCGACTAATCGGGTGGTCAGGCTCGCTGACTTGGTTGCGTGGATCGATGCTCATTAGAGCAATCACTGGATTGTCTGGTGACTCGATTTCGATGTCGGATGCAATTCCCTATTTTGACATTTTTGTACCATATTTTTCCCAGGGTTAGGTTTCAAGTGAACAAGTGATTTGTCCTTGCATGTGTCTGTTACGGGTGCCAACGGCGATTAAAACATTTAATCATATTCAAAACTTTTTACTATTTTTGTAGTTCCGTAAAATTAATAAAACATGCTTTAGTTTTTACTCACGTGACCGATTAAATACAAAAAGTAGTCATATATTTCCACAAAACGTATATATACAAAAACCTATAACACTATATAAGTATGTACATTTTAAATCATGTCAGTTCGGACAATGGAACTGCCATAAAGATAAGCAAGCCATGTTCACAGAAGAGCTCTACACTGTAGCGAAGTTAACCAGTGCACTTCCTTCTCCGGTTGACCTTTCGCCGGCTCGTGTGTAGACGATATCGCACATGAGATAACGTTAACTTTATATTATGTTCGCAAGTGCCCGTCTATTTCTGCGCATATTGATTGAGGTCGTATTGACTTTTTCGAAGTATCGAGTCGATAATGAGTCATACACACGTACATGTGTAGCATGACTGTGATAGGAAACTGTAATTGGAGGTGGCGATTCCCTTGAGAGTACAGTGAACCAAAGAAGAATGTTGCATTCAGACCCGATCTTTTTGCAGTTACAGATAATTTCTTAATAAAAAAAATATGAGCGAAAATATATTCTTTTTAAAACCACATTGAAACAATGTCATTTTTGTGGCAGACAATTTCTTTTTTTCCAACAATATGAAGCATACGTATTTGTTTCAGGACGTTTCGGGGGACACCCACCCCCAACCCCCTTTTCCTCCAGAATATCAAATGGTCGGCCCCTAATTAAACAGAAAAGACGACACAATCCCTTCCATAATCATCTGAGTCCACTGTACAATTCCGACTATATCATAAGCATGTGTTTATGAATCACTATCAAATAGAGATAATGGTGTTCGCGTAATATATGGTCAATGTTTTTAATAGATATTCATGATTTGTACACTAAAAATAACTTTTTATTTATTTTTGTTTCCAGTTTTGTTTGTAATTACTGTGTTTTGGCCTATAATCTGCTTGTCATTTTATGTGGAACGAAATAATCAAACTCAGACATTAAAAGCAGGGCACTATCTCGAATAAAACGAATAAGGACGAATGCAGAATATCACTACCAATGGCACTGGGTTACTTCGGCAAAGGTAATATGCAAGCAGGTAATATTGATTTTATGTAACTAATCACCTCAAGCCATACGTTTTTGTTTTGACGTCACGATGTGCAATATAATCATAAAAACATTTCACAGTGACGTCAAAACAAATCCTGATATAATTAGAACAAAGTTTAAATTTTAAACCAGTGACTAAATGTATAAATCGGTTCTTCCTTCTTGTTCGGTGAGCGAATAAATTATTGTATGACAGCACTTGCTGATAAAGAAATAAGGCCACCACTCAGCGCACGCTACCACTGAAGTACCACATTGTAAATCCCCACATGTCTGGGTTAGACAAATGTTATCAGCGGGCATAAAACAGTACTAACACTACCTCACAGTCAACTGGAAATAGGGTGTTCGCCACACTCAGTGCTATGGGGGCTACAAGGAGATCTCATGTGTCCTATTTCATCCTGCTATTTCTGTTGCCAGTTGCAGGTAACTTTATCAAGTTATTTCATTTTAACGAAATAGTTTCTAGGTCAGTGTTATATTGAAAAATAATTGGATAATAACAAGGCGGGGTTATAACTAAGTATATAGGTACATGTAGAGGATACCGGATACCAATACGCCATGTTTGTTTGATGTCATTCTTACAGCAGCACGAGACTATTTTTTAAATTGGGCGACGAAGCTCAAAATAAGCAGGAAGATACCCCTCTTGTATAAATTATGTATCGTTGAATATGATTTAACCCCGAAATTGAACCTCAAGGCAATTCGTCAACATCGAAAATTGGACATCAACAACAACAAAATAGAAGTTCTATGATGACATAATGCAACCTTCTCAGTGACATGTATCGGCAACACAACAAAAACGTAAACTTCGATTTTCTATTGACTTTGAAACTAAAAATGACATTTCCATGCGATACCCATGTTACTTTAGCGAGGCGGATAAAAATGGCAACTGCAACACACTTAGAAACTGTTACTAAGGAATGTGGAGGAAAGATCCGGATCGACTGTGGGAAAAGCATTCGGCGATTGACATGACGTAACATTGTCAATAATCGGTCGTCTCACTTGATGTCTGCCAAGTAAGAGTTCAGTTGCCGGTAGGAAAGGACATGTTAACCCTTATCGCGAACACCTGGTGTCATCACTGGTTTCCAGGGATCCATTCATATCATTTTCACCTCTATTATGTCTTTTATGCTCAGTGGAATCTGTTTCGGAGGATGATCAAAACTGTTTATTTTCTGGCATTGACGATGTATATATTTGCATTAGTTTACACTGAACCCCCGTTAATGTGGACAACGGAGTGGCAACGAATCTCCAGGATAACGAATAATTGTAATTACTGGTAATATTATTTATTTATACATGATGTCGGATTAATGGTGTCCGGATCAAATGTTAATATACTCCCTTGGGGATCTTCCAATACCGTTTCTTGTGATCATTTCGAGAACAGATGACCTTTAATGTGATCACATTTGGTTATATCAACTTGTCTAACGTATAGTATTCTTATGAAATCCCTATATTCCTGACCCCGATAGACTGGAAACCCTTCTTTCCGGTCAGCGACTGTCAGTAATCAATGTGTTATAATTAATCGACTTACAGAGAATGGGATCATTCAGGCGTCCTATTCACGAAGCTGTTGTAGTGCTAAAATTGTTATAAAAGTAGCGTAGCGAATATAAAGCTATCTGAGCCTTATCTCGTAGTTGTCTTTGTTATCTTGACGACAAAAATTAACACAGGGTCGGACCTGTCTTTGGAACTTTGGACATGTAAAATGGCGGACAACAGATGGCATTGTAAAGAAAACGTATGCATAGGTGCATGACATGTTGCCCATGAATTAATATTCCATTCCTATTAGTGTAACATTCTAAATTTATCATCTACGTAGATAGCACCTCAATAAAGACACGTCAAGACTAAAAAGTCAAACAAATCGGATATATAAAACTGACCCACAAATATTGTCGATTATTAGAGAAAATATTGTCAAGTTGATACTTCATTAGTATATGATACTTCTTCTCCGTTGATCATGATATCTTATTCGTAGATGAAAGTATCTTCTACGTAGAAGTAAGTATCATGTACGTTGATGATATTCTTTTATAATGTGGCACTAATACGCATACGAATGAATACATAATTAATGATGAAAGAAAACAAGCGTATTCTCTCAGTGTTGTGTAACAAATACTTGACGTCATTCGCAGGCAGAGTGAGTGAGTTGGGTTTAACGCCGCTTTTAATGTCAGTTTAATGTGGGAGGAAAGCCCGAAGTGATGCAGGTCTTAGTATAGACGTTTACCACTTCGATGAAACTCACGAACACGGGTATGGTGCTGAAAAACCTAGAAACATAATCGGGGCGAACCGGGATTCGAACCCACAATCATAGGTTTCTGGCGTGCCCAAGGGACGCAACTCTGCACAGCGAATCGCGGCGCCTGAATCGACTGGGCCACCCGTGCCCCCTATTCGCAGGCAGAAATAATAGCGTTCTTGTAGACTACAAACAGACCTTATGTATCTGTTCTGATTGTAAAATTAATAATGTCCGCAACAGCATTCACACTTGTTGAAGTATTGTCCGTCATTATGGTACATATATCCTCAGATCTTGAAGCAGGGAGGCATCGTGTCGGCGTAAAAGACCTGGTTTCAATGAGATTGCAATAATAGTATTTGACATGCGTTTGACATGTGTCCATGCCGACAAAAAGTTTTTCTTTTTCCCGGTTGATAGGTCTACGGTTTTGCTAGATGTGAGATCCTTCACAGTTTACAGGAGCTCATCACAAGGAAATCATAACATATAACAAATAAACTTACATATCTGACATTTACAAAGTGCTGCTTATTTTTGTGGTGTGAGTTTCAAGGCATCAGTGATTTAGCAGTGCGCGCCTATCGTCCTAACTCGTGTACAGATTATTTTGGACATATCGCAAGTTGCAGGTGTGTTTTTAAACCGAATGAAAGGACCATCCCCGTATATATCGCAACGTTATGACATTTGGCGTCTGGTGTAAGATTCATGTTATTTAATTCTGGGTTCTCCTTTGTTTCGATCTCACAAGATACCGACAATGAAAAATAAATTTAAACACCGGTGGACAACTTATAATATAAATGCATTCATTAACTTCAGTCTCGGGAATATTCAAAATATCCATTTGGAACACACACAACCCTCAACAAAACCCTTTCATTTTCGTAAGAAATATCTGATAAAAGCAAAGTCGATTGAACGATTCCGACTATGTCAAATAGAGATGTCACTTAATGTTCGCGAAAAGGTGAGCGTATCCGGTCCCACCGGTGGCACACGTCTCAAACACACTTACGGCAAGGCAATGTGACCCGTGAAGATCCGGGGTAAAATAGGTCTTCAGCAAGCCATGCTTGCCGTAAAAGGCGACTATGCTTGTCGAAAGAGGTGAGTAACGGAATTGGGTGGTCAGGCTCGCTGACTAGGTTCATGCATGTCATCGATCCTAACTGTGTGGATCGATGCTCATGATGTCAATCACTGGATTGTCTGGTCCAGGCTCGATTATTTTCTGTCATTTTCTGTAATATTGCTGAGTGCGGCGTTAAACAAATAAATAAACCTGAACAAGTGGCACAAGTCAAAATAGGAAATTGCATCATACATCGTTAACATCAGTTACAAATGAATAATGTGCATTACACGTCAAACCATTTCTATTTTAGCTTGCTTGTACTGCTACCAATGTGGCAGCACAGGCTCAGAAGGATCCTGTAAAACGGATACCAAGACGATGGTAAAATCGGCCAACGACATTTTAAATAACACCAGTCCAGATGAAGAAGTAGTAGATACAGACTCTGAGGGAAGGACCCTGCCCTACATCAAGAAGTGTCCCAACTCTAGGAATGTGTGTATGATCGAAACTGTTGAGAATGCACGTAAGTTGAGTACTTGGTCATTGCCATCCACATCAACATCAGGGAACACGGGCGACTCGGTCGTCCAGAAACCTATGGCAGTGGGTAATACCGGCTCGCAGTTATCATGTTTCTACGTTCATCACCATTACTCGTGCTCGTGGGTTTTCCAAAAGTGGTAAACGTCCGAGGCCTGCATCAGTTCAGATTTACTCAAACAAAAAGCTGACACGCCGTGTAATAACTGAAATATTGTTGAAAAGGTCGTTTAAACAAACTCAGGCCCTTCAGAATCTTCAGGCCCCTTTTGGACCCCTTTACTTAACACCGACATAAATGAATACACAGTCGTGCAAAAATATGAATTATGTAAAACTAAAAAAATATTTCAAATGTTTACGAAACATCGACAGTAATACGCGAATATTCATGCTCAAATATGGAAATCGAGGAGAAATGGTCCTGAGTGAGTGAGTGGGGCGGTCGGGTAACCCTTTGGTTAAACCGTTCGCTCGTCACGCCCAAGACCCGGGTTCGATTCACCACATGGGTACAATGTGTGAAGCCCATTTCTGGTGTCCCCCGCCGTGATTTTGCTAGAATATGGCTAAAAACGGCCTAAAACCATATTCACCTGCCATAGTTAAAGGGATGGAATATTGCCATCCACGTAGACAGCATAAAATGATATCCTCTCACTACTCGAAAAGATCAAAGATTATATGTCTTGTTCAACTGCATGTGCATCTTCCTGTACGTTCACATGTATGGTAATACACATCTTAAGGTGGTTTCCGCTGATTTGTTGCTGTTGAAGTCTGGTTTGTTGTTTTACGCCGCACTCAACAATATTCCAGCTATGTGACGGCGGTCTGTAAATAATAGAGTCTGGGCCAGACAATCCAGTCATTGACATCATGTGCATCGATCCACGAAATTGGGATACGATGACATGCATCAACCAAGTCAGCGTGCCTGACCACCCGATCCCGTTAGTCACCTCTTACGACAAGCATAGTCGCCTTTTACGGCAAGCATTGGGTTGCTGAAGACCTATTCTACCCCGGATCTTCTCGGGTTCAGACCTACAGAAACATCAATCTTACGTCACAGATATTTGCAGGTTGAAGTGAGCGAGTTAGTGAGACTGGTAAACGCCATTTTGAACAACATACAGTTATAGCACAGTATCAGCTTAATGCATGAGGGTAGCCCCTGATATGGCCCTGAGAGAAAACGGCTAACAACCCGGTTTAGATTAGCAGATCCTGGTACGTCCTTAAACGACTAAAGCAATAGCAGGTTGAAAACGTGATCAAATCTGTTTCTAACCAATGTTGTGTGGCATTAGTTAGTTCATCAATACAACAGAGAAGGAAAGGAGATTGACTAAACTGAACAGAACCGCGAACACGCACAAGAGACGTTTCTGTAATCACCAATGATACATTGCTCGTCATTGGATCGTCAGTACGGGTTAACTGTCATTGCACTGAAGCCCTACTATGGTCAGAAGGTGATATACTACGTTAGGCTTTCAATGGACCCAAAAGACAGGAAACATCGATTTCCCCGCCTCTACCTCCGGTAAATAGTTTTAATACCATCGTTTTGGTTTGTTTTATGAAATTAGATAAGGGGAACATGTTCTAAACTTGATATGTCAAATTTTGTGCATACAAGCGATAAAACCATTTCCATAAGCATAGAAAATCTCTGCAGAAAGAAGAGTCTGTTGTAAGATTCCGACTATATTAAAAGCATGTGTTTATGAATCACAATCAAGTAGTGAGTGAGTGAGTATGGTTTTATGCCGCTTTTAGCAATATTCCAGCAATATCACAGCGGGGGACACCAGAAATGGGCTTCACACATTGTACCCATGTCGGGAATAGAACCGGGGTCTTCGGCGTGACGAGCGAACGCTTTAACCACTAGGCTACCCGACCGCCCCAAACAAATAGTGATGATTCCAGGGGTCAAAACATTATCTCCATCTTTTCAGAGACGTCTGCCATTCTTAGCTACATCCGGGACTGCTCTGACGGGAAGACGTTCTCGTACGGAAATTTGTCCATGCTGCAAGGCATTGAGCACAACAACTTCAGCACGTGTGCCTACGACACTCTCGGATACATGACCTGTGTCACCACCTGCCAAACAGACTTCTGCAATGGACCAAAGGCCGGTGCCACCTCACTGATGATGGCGGTAGCTCTCCAAATTGCCTGCCTGTTGTGTGTCTTCAGAATGACGTGCACGTCTTTGTAATGGTGTCGAAGCATCACAGTGAGTGAGTAAGTTAATATTCAACGTCACATCGTCAATATTTCAGCCATATGGTGACGAGTCAAAGCATCACAAGCCACAAGGTACCGGAAATAATCAGCTGGCCATTGCAAGGATTCTATTACAGTGAAACCTCGTCAATCCGAAACCCGTTTAACCGGGAACCCCGATTCTGGAAGGAACATGTACATATATTCAAAAGGATATGTCTCCATTCCGATTATTCGTAAATCCGGAAGTTATTCTAATCCAGAACTGCTCTGCTGTGGATCTCACTGAGTATGCTTTATTTACGATATTGATGGTTCTTGAGAGCATAAACGTAAAGTAGTATCCAATACCTAAGAAAACGAAATTCCTGGCAGTGAGGAACATGGACAATATAATATATTTGTGATAAAGTCCAGACTGGGCCACTGACAGAACTAATCAATTTGTTTAAAGTGTGTAAATGTGTAATTACTACATGTACGGGTACCACGAATACTTCTTTGTAGTATCCTGTACTATTCATTATCTCCTCATTATTCTGGGCTCCTCTGATCGGCCATAAAAATCCGTAATAAAGAAATGCGGATAAAACAATCCAGGATACGTGACGATTCGAGTTACCTTGAGTTTGATGTATTTTTTAAATCTTATCAATAGGCCTGGCTAAGCCTTCGACAACCTTCGTGACGGTTCGAGTTACCTTGAGTTTGATGTATTTTTTAAATCTTATCAATAGGCCTGACTAAGCCTTCGACAAACTTCGTGACGGTTCGAGTTACTTTGAGTTTGATGTATTTTTTAAATCTTATCAATTGGCCTGACTAAGCCTTCGACAAGCTTCGTGACGGTTCGAATTACCTTGAGCATATTGCACATGTGTCACGGTGTGGCCTCGTTAATTCGAATTCCTGGCGATACCGAAATTATCAAGGTTTCCGTTTTTCGGGAAAAGCAGAGATGTATTCTACCTGGGCCATAAGTTTACATCGTCCTAAACGAAGCACAGATACATAATGTAGTTCGAGTTAAACGATATTTAACCGTATTGATTTTTAAAGGATAAATTATTTTTCTCGATATGTTAGTTCTTTTATATGTTGTACATGAATAATAATGAAGGTCTGATCAAACGTGTTTTCCTTCAAAATCAATGTAACAACACATGTTTATTTTGTTGTGAGAAATGAAATAAAAACACATTTACAATCTAAGAGTTGTGATTTAATGCAGCATAACGTTGATGAAACTGTTCATATGACGAAAAAGGAGGGAAATATTCATGAAAATATAAAGATGTGTTCATTACATCTAAAATTATGTTCTTATCATCAGTGTCTATATACTTTAAGGTAAAACAACAAGAGTACGTCGATGTGACACACCTGCTTTCCACTTGATGTGCATTAATTACCACAAAACTTTAATAAACTTACATTCACATTAATTTGACAATCATCTTACAGTGATTGTGATTGAAGACAAATGATATGCACGACATATGCATCATCGACAGCTTCTTGTGCTACGGAAGGTATCGAAACGCTACGAAAGTCGCACGTGTATGTTAAAGTATGGGAGTCGCGATCAGCTTAGGGCAACGATAGCTTTGAGGAAGGGCCCTTGGGGTAAACAAAAGTGGCCTTACATGTATAAGAACAGTGAGCCGATTAAGTTTGATTGGCAAATACTCTTTACAGCCTAAATCATTTTTTCTTCGTTTTCGTCATTAACTGATATATTAGCAAGCAATATTTATACAGAATTCTCACACTGCATAAGGTATATATTAATAATTATTGTTGCTTTTAAATGTAATTATTTAAAAAAAAAACAATTCAGTTTGATGTAGAATAACAAGCTTAATATTAATCACTGGTTTGTCCAGACTAGGTAGTTAAACAAGCCGCCGTGTTATAGCTGGAATATTGCTGTTTTTTGTTTTCAGTTAGAAAACATCTCTTGCAGTAGAAGGCCCACTTTCTTTAAATCATTTGCCGCACCTTTTAAAACCCAACAGACATAAAGAAAGAGATCGGTTTTCGATTTCAATCCCGACTGGTCCCCCGAATCAAATTCTTGATTTACGTTTCTAATTTTGAGAAAGACTGGGGAGATATATGAGTTGTTATGTTTACCTTGGTGTGGTCGTATCTGCCTCTCCGACAAACACTCACCCTTGGTTTAAGTTGGTGACATTCAGATCATGGCATGGTGATCAATGCCTCAGTTATAGTGTTAACCTGAATATTGAAAGGCCTTGCAGGACGCAACATATTGCTTTGTGTACCAGGAAGTCTGTATAGTCTTTGTATTGTCTCTCTATGCGCCATAACGCATATAATTTGAGAATGAAGGCAAAAAACTTGAGTCTTGTGGGACGTACAAAAAGATAGTTTTTCGAATCATTAAATTGAAGGTTTAGAGTGTCAGTGAGTGGCTTTTGTCAATTATTCTGTAACACGTGCAATGATAAAATACTTGGAAATCGGGTAAGTGCTACGAGTATCCAGCCTGGTATTCCAAAAAAATATATTACTCAGAATCCCCTGGGCTCAGAAATATATAGATCCAATGTAAACCCGTGGATGTCAGAACAGTTACATGAACGAAACAAAAGACAAAACCTAACCTAATCTGCTTACTCTGTTCAAAGGAGGTACTTCTGTATTTCATGACGCCCATAGTTACAACTTGAATATGTTCTTCAAAGAAATAAAGAAAACTGTGGCGGGTTGATATGAATAGATAGACTATAAGGCGAGTGGCCCATAATACAATCACACAAAAGTTTACTTTGCCTGACAAACATCTGACTCAAATTAGAAAAATATCACAATTTCTCATTGTTGAAATGTTATATTCAATCTTACATTGTAAATAATATCATGTTTGTAAGTTTGTGAAGGTGTGGTGTGCAGTAGGGTTCTTGTGTGGTTGTTCAGGTATTTATTTCTCACAGGGGTGTTGTCTTCACAGATAAGTAAAGCATGAACTTTAACACGCTTTGTGGTTAAATGGTAGTTTTTCATTTCTGCCAATTTCTTAAATATGAGACATCTAAATATAAACATATTTTTAATATCAATACCGCAATATCAATATCAGATCATTTAAGTTCAAAATATTGAAGTGATTTATAAGTTTTATGTATTTATTTGTTTATTTATTTATTTATTTATTTATTTCGGGGGGGGGGGGGGGGGGGGGAGGGGTGCTAGCGTGAGCACAAATAACACTTGCAAACACTTTTTTGTTTTAATGTCAACAATGTGGATATAAAATATTAAAAACATGATGAAAAAAATCGACTTAACAACAAAAGCTGATATGCCATATGTTTTACACCAGCACTGGTGCAACTGTGTGTAACTGTAACCGACAGAAAGTCCAGTCACGGTCATATCAAACAGTGGTCGTAAAAAAAGTGAAAGTAGATGAAATACTTGTGTTGCTATGAATGTCTACTACGATTCATGTATCAGGAAAAAAACTACTGATCAGTTTTAATTAACGCATAAAACTTTGAATATATCAATGTCATATAACTGAGTTGTCGACTACAAATATGTTTCACAGTATGATACGTTAAATTGCTTAACAGATAAGCTGTCGTGCATATGGCACATGGCATTATAAAGCTGAGGGCCTGTAGCTCACCTACCTAAAATGTGTATGTGCATTCTGAAAATGTTTGCTTTTGGTTATTTCTTTAACGCCGCAATCCACGCAATGGGGATCGATGACATGCATCAACCAAGTCAGCGAGCCTAACCACCCGATCCCGTTAGTCGCCTCTTGCGACAAGCATAGTTGCCTTTTACGGCAAGCATGGGTTTCTGAAGACCTATTCTACCCCGGATCTTCACGGGTCCCATTCTGAAAATAAACTCCTACCTCACAACATTTATGACGTGTTCTGGAGAAGGAACACTAACCTCAAATCTCTCATGCCATAAAAATGGAAAGAACAACAGCCTCCCAAACACTATCTTGAAAATAAATTAATCCTGACGAATAGAATGGGATTTAACGTCACGTTCAAGATTATTTCACCCATATAGCAATGCGTGTGCGTGCGTGCGTGCGTGCGTGCGTGCGTGCGTGCGTGCGTGCGTGCGTGCGTTCGTGTCCACCAAGAAGGTTATGGAATATTGCTAAAAGCGGCGTAACACCACACTCACTCACTCACTCATTAGGACAATGCAACAGTTCACACCAGCCGAGTTGCAATGCTTGCTACATCATCCCTATTTTCTCAAGATGGCAAATGCAATTCTGAACAACACAGGGTAGACATGAGTGAATAAGGCCCATGATTGACGGGTGTAATACGCCCTCTGACACCGACTTAACATTACGCAACAGGGAGTTGTATGATAAGGGACATTATGGTGATAAGTCGCACATGACAACGACAACCATACAGCTTAGCTTTTTTATGTTCGATGGCCTGACTTGTTCCAAAGTAAAAATCAAATCTTTACATCAGGAAGCAGTTCATATAAAAGCAGGTCATATTCTGTCAAATTTGACGGTCTGTGTGTCTAATAGCTGCTGTAGACACCTTACTTTGAATTCCTGTCTGATTTGAGAACCAGTGTAAACATAATGGTTAATTTGCTTTCTGAAGTCTACATCGGGCTCCGAGTGGAAGGTTTTGACGAAGAAAGTCGAAGCATTGTATTCGGGTGAACCCACTGTGTATCGGACGCTTCAATCAGATGCTGTCGGTCTGGTTCCGTCATTTCTATACACAGGCGTAGGAAAACAAACACACCCATCACCCCGCACCCTACACCAAACACCCCACACACCCCACCCCGCACCCCACACCCCACACCCCACACCCCACACCCAACACCCCAAACACCCCACCACACACACCACACCCCACACCCCAAACACCGCACCCCGTTTCACTTCCACTGCGTACCCGGTTAATGACAAGGCGCAAGGTTAATGACGCAACCTCACATGCCATTTTTAGTATTTTAACTCACGGAGCCATCGGGGCAGGTTATGGAAGGGTGTTCAATATTACATGTTACTGACTTCGGTTGTCTGCATGCTGCGTCAGTCCGTTCGCGATCATACTCTTCTCCGAAGGAATGCGTCTTTATGAATATGTCCAACACGGGTGTGGTGTTGACAGACCATGGATAGTATTCGGGGCGAGTCCCTATGTCTGTCATAAGACTCAACTAAAATGAGGATTGCTTGATTAAGTGTGTGAATACACTAATGTGTTCTCGTTCGCTACGACGCTGTTCTTTGCTCTAGCTATCGACCTCTGGTTTAGTCCAGGCTCAATAACAGACCACCGCGATATAGAGGTGACATTGCTCACACGGACACAACACATAATGCATAAGGGGCTAGTCACGTGATCCCTGTTGGAAACCATACCTTGTGTTATAGATATATGGGAAGCTCTTGGAAATGTGCATTCGACAGTATCACTAAAATAAATCAAAACTCAAAATAATAAGGTGAGGTGAGATGAGATTGGGTTTAACGTAGCGTCCAAGATTATTGCGCTTATATAGCGACGTGCATGCACGTGCGTGCGTGCGTGCGTGCGTGCGTGCGTGCGTGCGTGCGTGCGTGAGTGCGTACGTGCGTGCGTGTGTGGCTGCTTGTACGAGTCCGAACTGATGCCGATTTATAGTGCTAGCTCACTGAGATACCATACCGACCCGTGAAGATTCCGGGGTGGAATAGGTCTTCAGCAACCCGTGCTTGCCGTAAAAGGTGACTATGATTGTCGTAAAAGGCGGCTAACGGGATCGGGTGGTCAGGCTCGCTGACTTGGTCAATGCATGTCATCGATCCCAATTGTGTGGATCGATGCTCATGATATTAATCACTGGATTGTCTGGTCCAGACTCGATTATTTACAGACCGCCGTCATATAGTTGGAATATTGCTGAGTGCGGCGTTAAACAACAAACCAACCAACCAAACCAAGATACCATGCTGCAGTTTAACATGAATACCCCACTCAGACACAGTATACTGACTCCGGGCCGACCAGTCCTTGTTTAAGCCCCTTAATGCCTTTAACATGGGGAACAACAAGTATCAATCTCATTAAAATAATATCTAAGTTCTCGCTGCCGCTAAACAAAGATCTGAGGACATCCCATTACGGGTCACGTCAGAACTACCTTTCGCGAACTTTGACAGACCCCTGAAACGACCAACAA